GCTGAAAATTTCAGCTAGAAGATGGTTCCTGTGACTTTCTTCTGGCCTTCTGCTTCCTCTTCTTATTCTTCCTGACCAATGCCATGACAACCTCCGAATCTGAGACCACTTTTCTAACTTTCATATGGTAGGAATGAGCCTCCTCAGTTGATTCTGATTCACTCTCATATTCCAATTGTGGAGCTGACATCGTCCATGCACCCTTCCTCTTGGCAGACAAGGTGGTCTCTGGGTTGGCCATACTAGGAATGGAGGAGAATGTCTCAAACTCAGACTCACTAGTCTGCAATCCATTATTCTCCTCCGATGCCGAGTAGTACATTAAAGATCTTAAGAATGAACTAGAATCCGAGGCTTGGGAAATAACATCTTCTGCTAATACATTAACACTAGTTGACAGATTGTCAATCCTACTATCACTAGTTACAGATTCAGAATCCGACACTATCACATCAAAAACCGAGTTTGGTGATACAGGTACATCACCCACAAATTCAAGATTCAGATTGCTAAAAAACATCAGATTCAGCACCAATGTTGAAGTGTTCTGATACATTCTCAGAATGAAAAGACTCTGACATCTCCGAGTCAGATGAGCTATACAGACCATAATTAGGAGTTATTGAATTAGGAGAATCAATAGGCACAAAATGATACGTTCCAGATGATGCAGGATCAGAAGTATTTGATAAAGTTTCCTGTGCTGCAGGAGCAGCCCTTCTGGTAGTTTCTGGAAAGCCACTTGCAAGCAACTCCCCATAATCGAGGCGGACTGAATGTGATGGATCAAAATCCCTGTCATCTCTATGGTTCCTGTATTGAGCTTCAGTATCACCATTGGGATTATTATGTCCACCAGAATTGTGATTGTCATCATCCCCATTATGATCATCATCACCTTGATTATGATTGTTATCATGATCTTGATCGTCTTTCCCATCCTCGTCGTCATCATCATCATCATCATCTTCAGGGAACATAGCAGGGTACATTGCATCCGGCTGGGGTGCATCCACTTCTGTAATTTGAAACCATCTTGGATATAATACTATGGCACATTTTCATAGAAGTGATGCATTTGTAGGTACTTATTATCCATGATTCAGGAGGACCTTTTCTGCTTATGCCTATGTGCCCTTATAGAACTAGAAATCAATGGACGCTGAGCATCAATGAGCATTAGGGAATCATTTTTGATGGCCCGATTCATGAAGTGATTATCCAAGTAAGTAAAAAGAGCTGCATCATCCACCATAAGACACCTTTGTGCCGGATGACCAAGCTTACCACAACGTGTACAAAATTTATGTACACACTCATAGTTGCAACGAATTTTACGCAACTTACCATTTCTTTTAGTATAATGAAATACTGGAGTGAGTAGATCTCCCGGATTAATCCAGACCTTTACCCGGATGTAGGTAGCTTTCCTGAGATTGACACAGTCTTCTTTGATAATTGCAATATCCCCCAAATTCTTTGCCAGATCTCTAGCACCATGGTAATTATAAGATGTGATAACAGCTCCATGCATGCGAACCCAGACACTTAGCTTATCAATTTGAAGGCTGTCCAAAACCAGATCTTCATCATCATACATCCTACGAAGAATAAGAAAACCCACATAAGGTCCATTATCTAAGACCATGAGGAGATCAGCCCTTGAAGTAAACTTAATGATGGAGAAATTTCGATCATAATGCAAGATTCTGGTGTACATGGGCCAGTTCTCTGCCATGTAAGCTTGCATGTCTGCATCTGTGAAGGATCTATCATCCAGGATATATCCCAGCAGACAAAATTTGAAATTTTCTCGGGAGAGACTTGTATTGTAGTCATTAAGCAGGACTCACAGAGATCTCTCATATGTTGTTGTTATAAATTGAGGATGCACTTCAGTAGCTGGATTAAAATCATGTTCTTCTTCAGAGAATTCGGATCCTTGCAGTGACATATCTGTCACCGAATCTTCATCCATTGCATGCCTATGAGTCACGATGAGAAGGAAGAAGAATGCAGAGATGAAAGGATTAAAAGCGAAATTGTTAGATCAGCAACAGTCCAGGAAAGATGAATCAGCTACAAGATGAGTTTGAAAATGACTGGAAGGAGCAGGTAAGAAGTTGGGCAGTCGAGAATGTGAAAAGGTGTTATACTTTTTCGGTAAAAGAGATCTTGAGCAGCCGAATTGTGAACATTGAAAAGGCCATTAATGCCTTGAACCAACAAACAAACAAAAAGGAAGGAATAAAAGGTGGGTACTTTATACTGGCTGTATATTAATATCAAGAGTCCTTTATAAAATCTTTGTTGGATTTAAAGCAAGTCAAAGGAGATCTGATAAGTGCATGCAGTTTTCAAAAATGGAGATTAAAAAAAATTTTCTTCTGCATGTTGTCCAAATGGCAGAATTGAGCCACTTGCTGCCTAGTATGTTCCACTATTCGAATGAAAGTAAGAGATGGTGGAGAAATGAAAGTGGTTTTTGGAAACTAGATATGGAAATAAAGGATAGTGGTTTTAGAATAAAGGCCCTTCTCACTTGAAGAAAGAGAGGACTTTCTCTCTCTTGTGTTTATAAAATGGAAACGAAATGGCTTTTCATGCAAACCCCAAGACGTCCCCATCCACATATCGCTTCAAACTATTCTGGCGTACCAGAAATTGCAATCGTTTTGCCTCTTCAATATGATTTCAATTGGAATTACGTGACAAAAACACTAGAGAAAGTTGAAAAAAATGGTCATTCCCGATGCTTGCTACAATTACTTAAATAAATTGGACAAAATACAGTTTAAGTATTAAATTTTGGGTTGATGACAAAAAACTTGAGATTTAAATAATTATGTAAAATATTTTTACTGTTTTAAAAAATAACAAAAGCATTCTTAAATCAATAAATCAATTATCAAAAGGGTTTTTTGGCAACTGGTTGACATTTGTGTACCCAGAAAATGTTTGTATTCGGTAAAAACTCTCATGAAATTTTTGTTAGACGCTAATAAAATCAAATATCAATTTATAAATTCAAAATTCAGCTTTTCACGAACACTTACAAGATGAATTTTGGATTTAAAAGTGGATAATTTATTCTATTAGAGTTTGGAAAAAAAAAATAAGAATGGTTTCAGCGGGATACAATGTCATTTCAATATTTTCTTTTTACTGAATTTATGCACAACATAATTTTCAGTTATTGAAGCGCTTTTTTGATAATTGACTTGCCGATTAAAGGATTTTTTTGATATTTTCTTAAATAATTATGGTACTTCAGATAAAAAGTTAAACCTCAGATTTGTTTTTTATACTCTCTCCATTTTAAAAATATAAGTCGTTTTAGATTCAGATGAATATTCAAAATATAATTTGTTTTAGGAATTCAAGGTAAATTAATTGTTAATTTTCCAAGCTTGCGCTCAATAAATAATGTGAAGTAATTTTCATTTAGTATTGTTTATAATTTTTGTCTTAAATTAATTGTAGAATGATTGTCTTCTTAGTTTACGTGTAAAACCTAAATTTGTTTTTCCATAAAATAAAGGAAATGTATTAGGAAAAATGTACCACAAAAATATTTGTTTTAAAATCTAAAAAGAACCAAATATTTTTTGTAGTACTATGAAAAGAATGGGGATACTGATAATGAGGATTTATCGAAATTTGTGTGCAAAATGAAATGCAGAAACGCCATCAACCTCTGCCGCGGAATAGAAAATGAAAAGCATGTAGTAGCTACGATGTATGAGAGTGGTTGGCAGAAATTACCAGGCTACAAGCTGAAAGCTGAAGTGCTGGTAACCAGGTTCTATATTATGACATCTCTTTGATCATGGTTTTTTCTGGCTCTAATTAAACAGTGAACATTACGTATGCACCTTAATTGAATTGTCTTGTTCGTGTGTAAGTTTTTCAAAATATAGAAAAACGTATTGAAAGAAACAACTTTAATTAAAAAAGTATTAAAAGAAACTTCTACAAAATTGTTATTCACCCTCGATACAGAATCACAAAGGAGAGAAAGGTAGGAAAGATCTAGCTCTATTTGGTACGCCCCTATACTACTATCATATTTATAGAAGTCCATGAGTTCCACTTCAAAACCAATTGGCAATGAGGGGAGTAGCACATGTGTTTTGTATATTGATACCAAGTCTCTCACGACATCAATGTGGGACAAGTGTTTTATCACTCTCCCTCAGACCTAACGGGCGTAGACTAAATCACCCGATATTTTCAATGGGTTAGTCCGATCGCCTTTGGCCCAGTAGGCATGGACTTTAATTAGTCTTATCGCTTATTATAAATAATAGGTCTGACCCACTCTGATACCATATAAAAGCTCATGGGATTCCACCTCAAAACCAATTAACAATGATGGGAATAGCTTATGTGTCTTATATATTAATACCAAGTCTCTCACAACATCGATGTAGGACAAGGATTTTATCAATATTTCTCACCAGCCAGTAGTGGTTATATGTATTTTCTTTCGAGTCATTTTACAAAATGCAATATCCATAAAGTTAGCAGGAAAGAGTTAGAACAGGTTAATAGGACAGCAAAATTATATGAAAAACTTGCCCTTGAGTATCTATCTTTCCGTTAATATAGTAATAATGTTTGCTTTAAAAATTAAAACAGACGAACTATACTACACTACCATGATCAACTCAAACGAGGGCCTAATTAACTCAATAAAACTGGTCTTTCACTTAAGTTGTTTAACACATCAGCGATTGTCAAAGAAAATCAAACTTATCAAGAAATGCAAGGAAAATTGATATTATGTTAACCATCTCATTCAAAGCAAGGGGAAATTCAAACAACAACAAAGGGGAATATACAACACTTGCATGCCCATTGCAAACAAAAAGTATACTACTACTGATGTCGTGGTATATTAAAATGGGACGACAAGGTAGTAATTCAAAATAATTTTCACTACCATCCCCTTTTTAACAAAAATAGCTAAATCTGAATTCCATTCTTCAACAATTTATTTAACCTTCTTGCATAGGAACAGCTGCTGTTTCACGATCAGGACGAGAAGTTTTCTTCAAGAACACACTGGTAAGAACATGAACATTTCTTTTGGACCCTTTAGTAGAAATGGCCGTGGTCACCAAATCCAATCCCTGTCACACAAATATACCCCCAAGAAAACAACAATAATAATAATAATAACACTAACAATAATTATTTATTTCAGAAACTAATGAACCAAACTTAATTAATTAAGATTTAAAAAAACTTTCATCACCTCATCGACTCCTATATCCACGATTCTTTCTTCAAGGCAATCCAAATCCTCCAACTTCAACTCCTTCAGTAACGCCATGGCTGAAATTGTTGAGAATGGCCGAATTTCCAAATTATCCAAAATCATGAAACTCGAAACATCCCGAATCGGAACGCTTTCCTGCTTCTTCTCCATTGCTGGATCAGAAGTAGTAGGAGCCACATAAATGGCTTCCGCAGACATTATTTCTAAGCAATTCGGGCAAAACGCTCTAGGCCCGTCACTGAAATAAAGCCCACAACTCCCGGGCCCTGTTTTTCCGTCACCATCTCCTCTGTTTCCACACCGATAATAAGTTTTTGTAGATGATGATGATAATGGATCATCAGGAAGACAAATCCATGGAACATCGAAATTGGATTTGACAAACGGGTTGTCTATCGGAATCGTACCTTTTGTCTTGACCGGAGCAATGAACGGGCCGAAGAGTTTCTCGATGCTTTTGAAGAAGAATCCGAGGTTGCCCATGAAGTGTGGCTCGGTAATTAACCGGCAGAACGCCGCCACCGGAGAGCTCAGGAGCTCAAAGAGGAAATCTATAACATCTCTTCCGCCTTGGGCATAGATTACCTGATGGTTCTTGGTGTTTATTGTCAGCTTAATCGTGGCGTATTTCGAAACGGACGCGGAGGGCCAGGAGGAGGCAGCTTTTTCCTCTTGCTTCGGTTCGCATGAATCGGGTTTTTCTTTTTCCATGATTGTTTGCAGAAAGGTGATGGGAAGAATAGTGGGAACTGGGAAGGGTGTGACCTTGAAGAGGGGATTTTTTGAAAGTGGTTTTGTATGTAAAAAGCTAACTTGGGAACAGAAATGTCTGTGTAAAAATGTATAGGAAAAAGATGGTAATGATTACACTTTGGGCCACTAACCCATTATTCTACAGATTCCATCGACAAGCAATAACAGTGTGTGTGTGTGTGGTTTTTTTTTCCCTTTCAAAAATTGAAAATCATTTGTACCAACTCTTTCAGGTTATGTTTGATACTCCCTCTATTTTGTTTGAATTTATTAATACAGAAGAGGTCAAAGGAATTTCATGCATGACCATAGTATTTGCATCGTGTTGTTAATTTAACATCCGTAAGGTAGATAATATAGTCGACATTTTTAAGGTCTAGATGAACCTAGGAATACCATAAAGTTAGTAAGTCAACTTCCCTCTAGATGTATAACGCTAGGGGAAAAAAGGAAAAAAAGAAAAAAAAAACACAATGAGAAACTATTTTCAAATTTTACATGGTAGAATCCTAGAATGTTACTAGGATTTTAAAAAATCATGATCAGATTCCTACAATCAAGAAACCAATACTCGCTATATGCCATTTTTGCATTATGCTACGATTAAAATGCAAGAATTTTCTGCATTCCTTAGCTTAGGTTTATTTATTTACACTACTTTGGCTACTTTTACCTTTTCATAATTAGTTAAAAAGGGAGAGAAAGAGAGAAAAAGGGTAGTCCGTATACAAAGAAGATTAAACATTGTTTATTTATTTTTTTCAAAGAGAGTGAAAAGTCAGCTTAATTTCTATGGTATGCTAATTTCTTGAAGTACGGTTGTTTTTTTTTTAATGGTCATTTAATTCGTGTGACCCATCAATTAAATAGCAAATTCGTGTAATTTACTAAAAAATGAGAAATAACAGTACTAACTACAATTATATTGATAATCAAGCGTGAGAGACTAAATAAAAATGATTAAAATTTATTTATCTTTTACTATAATAATTCCATTTAACCATTTGTAAAAACATTTTTATTTTACTATATATCTATTAACAAAACAATAAGGTGGTACATAATTGGAAGTCAAAAAGAAAAATAGAAGCCGATATACAAACTTTAATACTAGCTAGGTGCCACTAAATTTATAGACTGTTGAAATACGTCGTGTTCTACTGTATCAACTCCTTAAGAAATTAAACTTGCTGCAAATAAATTACAGAGAATTCCTTTAATGCTGGTATCGCGTTTAAAAGATTCTAATCTTCTGTCAAACTCTATTTTGCAGTGACCATCAACAAGTCATAGAGACAGACACTCAAGTATGTTGGTCTGTAACTTCACGAGCCGGTTTTCTCTTATGGTTATCCGTACATCGCCCTCAAAGGTTTTGAAGGTCCTAACCATGCTTCTCATGATGGACGAGGCCTTAAAGAGTAACAACAAGACTCAGAACTTCGTATACAAAGAGATCTATAAAGAGCTCACATGATGTGTGCTTTTCCATAATTTCACTTTTATATGTTATTTAAAATTTTTTCATTAAGTTTTATTTCATTGCAATTTTATTTATTAATAACTAAAAACATTTATTACAATCATCTTTGATTTCTGCCGCAAATTCGACTGTACAGGACTAGTTCTTACATATATTTAAAATTAAGAAAAAGAAAGCAAAAAGACATTGTTTTCTCTTGACCCCCTTAGATTTGGAACTTACTAACACTAGACTTTGTCTACACCATCTCGCTTTTCAGAAAATTTAGTGCATAAGCCACATGCCAAAAAAAGGATGAACCCCACAATAATTGCTGCGAACAACATTAGAAGCATAAGTGCCCCAATCTGCATCTTCTTCGTTGTCGTCTTCTTCTTCTACCTTTTGCTAATTCGAAGAACTCCAAATCCGAAGTCTGCTTCTTGTTTATTTGAAGTATTATGGGGACGAATTTTAAACCTAGTGAGATTACTTGCATTATAAATAAGACGCCCAAGATTCTTATTTAAAGCAATGACCGAAACTTTCCATCTAAATATGAGGCGAGGATTTCATGTATTAGAAAGTTCCTTCCTTCCTTCTCGAGCAAAATATGGAAATTGCAGAATTTTCGTAAGTTCGTGACATACCTATACGTATACATGTGGAAAGGTATTATATACCGGAAAATTTCTATAAATTATTAGTATTGGAATCACCAAAATCTTTTAATTTAGAGATTTATTATTAAATAACCGCTTATTCAATAAGTTATTAATTTAAAGAGTTTCCTAAAAAAAAAAAACACTCCCACTAAGTTATATATTTTTCAAATATATTTACAATCCGAATCTAGTAAGTATTTATACTCTTCTTCTTTATACTAAAATCCATATATGGTTTAAACTGTATTGAGGGAGTAAAAAAAAAAACAAGCATATTTTATTTAGTTAATATTTTACTAGATCTTTAAATTATTATTGCTTTTTTAATCTAGGTTAACTATTAATTTATAGTAATTGTAGAGACTAATAAATATATAAGAGATTTCCTTAAATATTATTTTTTTTCCAATATTTGTACTTTTTGTACTGGTCCCAAGTTGGGAGGGGATAAGATTATTGATTACTTGAATTTATTAATTAACACATTATTGATTTAATGGCGTTCTACTATATTTATAATTAAATCACGCACTTGGTACACATCGCCATACATTATATTATATTGTTCAAGTGAAACTAGTGGTTTGGTTGTACATTGCACGGGTTATGAAAATTTTTCAGCATAATTAGTATATAATGTACATTGAATGTAATATCTAATTACATTGCAATGATACATTTAAATGTATTTAGATATTATAAATGGAATAACAAGAATTTAGTTAAATCGTTCTCAAAGTAAAGACTTAATATACAAAACAGTGCATCAAAAAAACTCATAAAGGTACAATTTAGATTTTATTTTGATGTTGAAGTTTTTAAACTTTTTGTACTAGTGCCAAGTTGGGAGGGGATAAGATTATTGATTACTTGAATTTATTAATTAATACATTAGTGATTTAATGGCGTTCTACTATGTTTATAATTAAATCATGCATTTGGTACACATCACCACACAATATATTATATTGTTCAAGTGAAACTAGTGGTTTGGTTGTACATTGCACGGGTTATGAAATTTTTTTCAGCATAATTAGTACTCCCTCCGTCCCATAATTATAGTCCAGTTTAAGTTTTTATTTTTAGTTCAAATTGTTCTAAAAGTAAAATCTCAAACTGGACAATAATTTTGGGACAGAGGGAGTACATAATGTACATTGAATGTAATATTTAATTACATTGCAATGATACGTTTAAATGTATTTTGATATTATAAATGGAATAAAAAGAATTTAGTTAAATCGTGCTCAAAGTAAAGACTTAATAAATAAAACAGTGCATCAAAAAACTCATAAAGGTACAATTTAGATTTTATTTTGATATTGAAGTTCTTAAAACGTTATACGTCATTGAAATATTCAAACATTTTGGAGAATAATGGAATATAATACCGTACTAATTTATTTAATTTTATTTCGTTGACGGAAGTATGTCCTCGGGGACAAAAATTGGATGTCCTCAACAGTGCGGATGTCTTCGAAGAAAATCATAACTGGCAATACTTTTCAACCTGCAGCCACATATGCATGAATACATCAAAGATTATTCGTGTATGTTGAAGTTAAAGTGAAAACGTTTTTCGCATAAATCTTAGTAGATTTCTGTAGCTTTGAAATTGGTAATCTTATTCTTGCATAGGTTTTATCCCAAAAATTATCTCGGGTGATCTTGACTATCATTGCCTCTAGTCAAAAGACTTACTACTGACAAGAGGTAGGGATTGGTAACCCAATTACTCAAGTGGAGTATGGATTTGTGTCTGTTGAGATAACGTGAAAGTCTGATATGGAAGTTGTTTATTATGAAAAGAATGTTAAGGACCATGTGGTAAGGGATGTAAATCTAATATCAGATGTGTGAAGACTTATGAATCAGTTGATAAGTAAGATGGACACAGGACCCATTAATTTGAATTTTTGAGTCCAGATCTTCTTCTTACTTATTTGGTTTTATGTCAAAATTTCTCTCCAGGACAAATCCTTAACAGTTGTAGCAGAATCAGGTTGGGCCTGTTACATGTGTGATTTAGTCCATATTATCTCGAGTGATCTTGCATCGCCTCTGGTCAAAAGCTAATTGAGGTAGAGATGGGCGACTGATATGCTTATATTTTACCTATTTATTATATCCCTAATTTGTAATTTTTGCAATATATTTTGAGTACAAATATGCTATTTATGTGATTTTATCTTTAATTGTAGGAATTGTACTCAAATGAAGAATTGTTGAAGTTTTGAGCTAAAATCGAATTAAAAGCAACTCAATGGGAAAGAATTGAAGATTGGAACAATTGATGGGGAAGAAATTAATGAGTTTAGAGAATTGGAGGGCCGATGATGCAATTTTTGAATTTTATTTTTAGTTTTTGGACATTGGCCGAACAAACGATGATGGTGCGGGTGATTTGGGATTGGAATTGGATAACAATTTTAATTCTGATATTATTTTGGAAACAAGTTTTCTTGCTCTCCAAGAAGTAGGGTTTTGACAGAAGCCTATAAAAGGAGGATTAGAGATTTATTTTTACAACAGAACTTGACCGAAAACTCACCGAAACCCTACGGTTGAACACTCCCTCCGCCGCTGCAATTTCTTTCCTCCTTGCCGATCACCTCCACTTCCTTGCTGCACCAGCCGAGCTTCTCCTCCTTCGCCGGCAGCATCACCACCACCTTGCTTCCATAACCACCACCTCTCATCCACCTTATCACCACGCAGCAGCATCAACAAAACCATCATCACCTTCATCCATCCTTGCTCCTTGCCAACCTCCACGTGACCGCACAACACTTCAAACTACCAGCACCATCATCAACCTCCACTTGCCGAAAAGAAGCACAAAAACCCCACGCAGCACCACCGAAGCAAGCAGCAGAATTTGACTTGATTTCTAGCTATCGGTTTCGGCAGAGTTTTCCGAGTTTTAGTGTTTTTGTTTTAATTATCTAATTTAGATTTATTTTTAGGATTATGTCTCTAAATATTATTGAATTATTTTTAATAATGTTTAGAGCCTAAAATTCTATAATCTAGAGCTTGGGTGTAGCCACCGAATTTATTTGGTTTATTTGGTTCATTATTATTTGATTTTTCCATTAATTAATATTTGTTATTCTTGTTTTAATTCGTGTAAGTAATTGGCCACTTTTGCATGTCTGAAGATATTAATCGAAGTAGCGAAAGATTAGTATTAGTTCGTAGAAATAATAAACTTAGGTTGTAAGCTACGAGAGTAAGATTATAACCTTTACAATATTTGATTCTTAATGTGCCCTAGTTATTTCCTATAGTCACGACAGTAGTCATAGGATTAATTAGAGTAAGAGGATTATATCACGACAGTGAATGGTTCTTAATTAGGTGAATCGTTGTGAGATTAATGGAGGTTAAAAGGCAAATACTTATGAATTGAACTAAACCAAATATTCGGTAGGTGAACCCAATGTCCTAGGTTTTCTTTGTCTGATTATTTAAATTAATATTATTTGCCTTTATTTTATTTATTTATTCTAGTTTTAAATTTTATAAATCTGGGATCATCTTTTATCTAGATAATAATAGGAGTAATTTGTATCTGCTAATTAGTATTCCTTCTCTGTGGGATCGACCATGCTTTCTGCTTTACTACTAGTAATTGTATTAAGTAGGTAATTATTATTTGACTAGTGTAACGACGGCTTGTCAGCGACCCAATTACTCAAGTGGGGGTATATATTTGGGTCTGTTGAGACAATTTGGGAATCCGGCGTGACTGTTACCCGTGATAAAGGAGAACTAGATGCTTGACCCGGCCAGATGCCCGGGCGGCCCTTTCCGTTATAAATAATTTTTTTTCAAATGGAAAGGTAAATTCTAATCTCAGTGAAATACGTATGTGGTTATATATATATATATATATATATATATATATTTATTTTTTTTATTATAATGTGTAATGATAGAAATAATAATTATATCTATAAGTGAATTTAATGTTAGAGGAGCTTGAAAAGATATTTATTTGAAATTATCATCTACATTTTAGGATCTTTTAATTGATTATATAAAAAAAACGGATCTTCTAAACTAATCAAAGTAATATAGGAATCAAATTGTGAGAAATCAAAAATAAAGATCATAACAATAAATTTCATTAAAGCTTTTTTTTTTTTTGTTCGCCTGGAGGCATGGGAGAAAAATTTTTAATTTGAAACCTTTTGATATGATTTTGAAGCAAAATTTTGTTCTGAATTATTTATGAGATTTGAAGGGGAATTGAAGCAATGGTTGAATTTGTCGATTGTTTGGATGCCTTATGTGGAAATGGGAGTGCTCAACAGTTTGGAAGGAATTTGACTAAGGGTTTTAATTTTTAATTTTCACTAATTTGTAGGAATTTAATGTGATCCGGAAGTGTGTTTTAGAAGTTTTTTATCCAGAAATAAGTTTATTTTTCATTTTTTGTTTTAGAAAGAGGATGACACATGGTAAAATCGTTTATGTAATATGGTGCATTTGGAGCCAAAAATTTTTAATAATAAGTTGCCACATCAATATCCTGTATTAATAAGTTTATTTTTTATTTTTTGTTTTAGAAAGAGAATGACATATGGCAAATTGGTTTATGTAATATGGTGCATTTAGAGCCAAAAGTTTTTAATAAGAAGTTACCACATCAATATTATGTATTCTGCTTTAATAGGGTAAAAGGGATGCTAAGGGTCACGTGACAATAGATGTGAATCCCGTATTAGAAGGGTAAGAACATGTGAATCAGTTAACAAATAAAATGAACTCATAACCCATTAGTTTGAGATGTTGAGTCCAAATAGATATTACTTACTTATTGGACTCCATGTCAAAAAAATTTTTTCCCACAAATCCCCAACAAGTTGATACACAATGTTATTGGTGTGGTGTTTATATATCAAATCGTTGATGATATATATTTTTTTTTTGAAAAATTGATGGTACATACAACAGAATATCTCCATTGATTATCACAAACCACTTAAATTTATATTTTTGAAGGAATTTCAAACGACATCAAACTCTTGACTATATCATTGAGAAACACTGGAATCCTTAGATTAAAAAGGAAGTGTTCTGAATCCACCTTGCTACTTGTACATTTCAATGACCCCGAATGTACCCACATGACATTTTGACCTTATGCCTCTGAATCCTGCACCAATAGCTAATGCCTCAAATTCTGCTTCTGATCGCTCTTTGCCTCCAATAATCATCATGACGGTATCAATTTGGTACACACTTCTTGAAATTGTACTAGTGTCAGGATTTGAGGGTAGAATGAATTCGAAAACGATCACTTTTCCATTATCAGGTAAAGCTTTGAAACAGTTCTTGAGCAGTTGCACACACTGACTATCATTCCAATCATGAAGAGTTCTCTATGAAAAAAATTTCAATCAAGTAGAACAGTGTGAATTGATTGTAATGTTTACCTAGAAAAACAAGTATATATCGCGCTAAAACAATTTGATGATTTTTAAATATATTAGTAGAATATTTGGATTTTATTGGGGAAATTTTTAATTATAATTATCAAATTCCAAAACTAACAAGTAACAACTCAAGTCCGATCCCCTATATACTTCTAATCTTTTCACATTAATCACCAAATTACATTTGAGTAATCAGCATTCTAGTGCCAAGTTCACCAGCCACTACGAGCTTTGGAAATTTAAAATGTTTGTATGTAATATAACCATTAAAATCCTAAATGTATCGTTTCATAGGCATTCATGGTAGTGATATAGACAGCATAGAAAGTTTCCTAGTTCTCTTACCTTTAAGAAAATTGCATCTCCTTCTGGCACACTTTGAAACATGTCTCCCCCAATGTGTTCGACTCCTACATATATCAAAGTTTTGTACTACTCATTAACTGATACCGCAAAATAATTTTTTTTTTCCTAAATGAACATTAAGAAAAAACGATCTAGTGCGCCTGAATTATTTTCCGAATGAAGGGATACATGCCCTAGAGGCTCATGAATCTAATGCATGGCCTCATTTGCTTTGTTACTCATGAATAAAACTGAAAAAACACAAGATTCATGTTTATATAGGCCAATCAGAGAAATATATATGTACCAGGACATGAAGGCGCATTTTTGACAACGTGAGGTAGGTCGAAATTAATGCCTCTTATCGAAGGATATTTCGAGATTATGGAATGAAGAGATGTCCCAATACCGCCACCAACATCAACAAGGGTTTCAATGTCGTCGAAACCTTTGTACTCATCAAGTAAATGCTTCATTGTCATGCTTGTTTGACCAGCCATTCCCTTGTTGACTATTTCGTTAAACCTAGCATCCTTACCAGCATACTCAAAAAGAGACATCCCATGTATTCTATCCGCCGGAATACCTCCTTCAATAATGGAATTTCCCATTTCGTACCTTTTTTTTAATATATAGTACAAAATCAGCCAGTTATAAACAATGAACGAAACATATTATGTTTTTTCCATCCAATAATAATAGTCAAATTGAAAGGAGAGTATATATTAGATGAGCGCTTACCAATTGTCAATCGTAACCTTGTCCTGAAGCAATTCAACCAGATGCGCAATTGTGTTACCCTTTTCATTCGGCACGAACAACTCGCCGACCGGAGATAACCCGTAAACTCTTTGGTACTGAATGCCACCGCCAGCGCCAGAAGAAGCAACCTCGACAACATCATAAGTGAACACAGAATAGCTACTTAACAAGCAAAGCATTCTATCTATGATAGAAGAGGCTTCTGGGTTCTTAGATTGAAGCTTGGAGGCGATTTCGGAGGCTGATAATTTCTTTTTCTCATGCCCAGCTTCGGCAATGATTTCAAACAATTTCAGTTTCACGGCAGTGTATAAAACCATAGGCAATGCCGCGGAGGTGACAAGTTGGAATGCCTGAGAGAAGTTTTGCCCTTTTTCACTAGCATCATTTTTGGCTTCTTCTTGGGAATTTAGGACTTGGGTTTTGGTTGATTTCTCCATTGCGATATGAAGCTCTCAGTTTTGCCTCTTTACGAAAAAAAAATAAATAAAAACTTTCTGGCTTTGTGCAGAGGCTGAAATCTTTATTCCCTCTTTATAGTAGTTGATTTTGGTTCATGTATTTGGACGTATATTTGCTCAATTTGGGAGTTTATATTGTTTTTATGAAAGGCGGATTCTTCGAAAATTGAAATCAATGCTCATTCTTTGTTAATTTGTAGTAGTTTTTACAAAATATTTCACCAAAATGATTACGAGATATTTCAATTAAATACCCTTATGAATTTGTGTATCTCAATATTAATTCATTACTTTTATTTTTTCCTTTTTTTATACTTTCTACCCAAAATGACTCTCTCATCAGTGAAATTTTCATTTTTAAACAGTTTGTGCTAAAAAAAAATTCAAATCGAATAATTATTTTTGGACAAGTTTTTTTTTTTTTTTACACTAAAGCCAGATTGCCCCAACATAACTCGAACCATCCCCTTCGTGATAATAAAACATTTCAAGCCTACTACTATTACTAAACTAATTTGGCAATCAAAGTTTATGAAATCTGGTAATTACTAATTACGAGAAAACAAATCTTAAAACCGTATGTTTGATACTAACATTTGCACGAGGTCAAAACCGATAAATCCCATACCCAATGCATACACACAATCAGGTCTTTCCAAGGTTTTGTGGTCAATCTGATCGCTCTCTATCTCCAACCGTATGTTCATGTTTTATTAACTTGTTTAGGACGAAGAAACCACTTTCTTTTTTTTGTTTTGTGTACAATTGGAATAGGAGTATAATGAAATAAGCCTGCCGGTTCACTCATTTCTGGAATTTGTTGTCGCCTTGTGCCCGTCGGCTTCTATACTGCGACGATTAGCTCAGCCGTTTCAGCCGAAAATTTGTCGAGTTCTTATTGTTTTGTCCTTACTTTCGGGTTGGTGCAATTCTCTGGTTCGCTTTTCTTATTACTATTTTGTTCACGGAATTTTTCATTTTGCCTTCTTGAAAAATTGCCATCTGGTTCTCTTTTATTTAAGAAACGGTCTGGATTCTTTTTAAGTTTTCGTATTTGGGACTTCTTTTGTAGAACTTAGTTGGGCTTTAACTGTTATAATCTCTCTTGGGCCTTATTTTCCAAATTGGGCCTATGTGATAGAATATTAGAACATTTTTAAGGTGTCACGTTATGATGAATTCAAATTTAAGATTCTTTCACAAATAAGGAAAAAGGTGCTTTGGATACCAAAAGCAACAGAAAGAATTCAGATTTTTAGAGGAAAAAGGACAGAAAGGGGAAACAAGGGAAGATCCAGAGGATAAAAGGAAGCAAGCAAATATTTTGGGAAGAAATTTAGGGTAAGGAATCATTAATTTCATGATCATTTCTGTTAATACATGATTTTCTTAAATAAGTAAACCCTAATCTTCTAGAAGGAAACTAAATTACTTGACAACAAAGTAATAATAATATTTGGAACATAATTTCCACCTGGATCCTTTAGGAAGCTTCCCAGGAAAGAGACTTCATTTTGTCTGCATGCATGGAAATCACGTGAAGAACCAGAAGGCAATACAGGAGTGCCTGGAATGACGTCGGATGATCAACAAAATCCCAAAAATCTCCAATTTAATCACCCAAAAGAAACGGGTCACCCGACTGGCATGACAACTCCCTTCTGCTGAAAACAGGCTTGTCCTCAAGTCTGAAAGTTAGGAAACTGATTTTTGATGAAGAAAGCATCCTCCCAAGACAAATCTTCCATAGTCATTCCTTTCCACTTGATGAGTAATTGGATCACATTTTGATCTCCCCTTCATATAAATCTTCTCTGGCAACAACATAGTCTCTTCAGGATTCTCCAAATTAGGGAGGTCTGTGGGAGTAAGTGGAGCTGATCCAACATGCTTCTTTAACGAAGAAGCATGAAACACACGGTGTACTCTGGAATGAGCTGGTAATTGCAGCTGGTAAGCTACATTCTCCACTTTCTGAAGAACCTTAAAAGGGCCATAGCATTTTGCTACCAACATGAGAGTGTTCCTGAATGCCAATGAATTCTTTGAGGGTGTAATTTGAGATACACCCAATCATCAACTTGTAATTCTTTGAGGGTGGAAGGTTTGTTTCCATATAGAGCTTCAAAAGGGGACATTTTGGAGCTGCTGTGATGGGAGGTATTGTACCACCACTCAGCCATAGTTAACCATCCAAACCAGCTGTTTGGTTTGCTGTTACAGAAGCATCTTACGTAAGTCTCCAAACACTGATTGACTCTTTCAGTCTGGCCATCACTCTGAGGGTGATAAGCAGTGCTGAAACACAGCTTAACTCCAATAGCTTTGAATAGAGCAGTCCAAAAGTGACTTGTAAATATTTTATCTCTATCACTAATGATAGATTCTGGAGTTCTATGCAAATGGAAGATCTCCTTAAAGAAAGTATCAGCCACAGTTTTGGTTGTGTATGGATGCTTAAGTGGTATGGAGTGAGCATACTTTGTCAATCTATCAACCACAACCATAATGGAATCATAATCATCAAGAGTGGGAGGTAACTTATGAATGAAATCCATAGAAATACTCTTCCAAGCTTGAAAAGGTATTTCTAAGGGCTGCAGTAAACATCACTTTTACAAGCCTGACAAACAGTACAAGCTCTCACAAAGTCCTCCACATCCTTTCTCATATCCTTCCAAGTGAATATGGCATTTAATCTCTGAAAGGTGGGCTTCTGAGCTGAGTGGCCTCCCGGGGGGATGGAATAAAAATTTTCCAATAGAGTTTTCCTGATCTGTCCATTCTTTCGAACATACACCCTTCCTTCCACTTTCAGGAGCCCATTGACATATTGCAGCTTGTCATTGAAATCAGGAGAAGTAGTTACCGTGGCTATCATGTTCTGGACTTCATCATTATTCAAGTAACTTTCTTCAATTTCCTACATCCATAGTGGCCTTAAAGTAGTGACTGCATTCACCATTTCATTTTCTTCTTGTTCCTGATGTTTCCTGGAAAGTGTATCTGCTGCCACATTTTCTTTTCGCTTTTTGTATTGTATCTCATAGTCTAATCCCATCAGCTTACTCAACCAGTTGTGTTGCATTTGAGTCGTCAGTTTCTGATCCAGAAGGTACTTCAAAGCTTGGTGATCTATCTTAATGATGAAGTGATTGCCAACTAAATAATGCTTCCATTTAGTGATGGCCATTACTAATGCAAGGAGATCCTTCTCATAAATAGATAGTTCCTTATCCTGATTACTGAAGGATTTGCTCAAATAGGCAATGGGTTAGCCTTGCTGCATAAGAACAGTCCCCATTCCTTGATCACAAGCATTAGTTTCAACAGTGAATGGTTGAGCAAAATCTGGTAACTTAAGGACTAGTGCACGGGTTAGAGCAGTCTTAAGTTGGTGAAAGTTGAGGCTGCTGCTGGATTCCATACAAAAGAGTCTTTTCTTAACAATAAAGTTAGAGGTTTGCTAATTACTCCAAAATTCTTTACAAACATCTTGTAATAACCAGCTAACCCAAGGAATCCTCTAAGCTCTTTAACAGTTTTTGCTTCTGACCATTCCACTATACTGATGATCTTTTCAAGATCCATTTCTACCCCTTTTTCTGATATTACATGCCCCAAATAACCCACTGATGACAAAGCAAAAGCACATTTGGATTTCTTCACAAATAACTCATTCTCTTTGAGGGTTTGCATCACTATTCTTAAATGATTCACATGCTCTTCCTAGTTAATGTTGTACACTAGTATATCATCAATGATAACTAACACAAATTTTCTGATGTAAGGTTGGAATACCTGATTCATCAAAGCTTGAAAGGTGGCAGGAGCATTGGTTAAACCAAAGGGCATTACCAGGAATTGAAAGTGGCCATGATGTGTCTGAAAGGCCATTTTTGGAATGTCCTCTTCTTTCATTCTGATCTGGTGAGAGCTAGCTCTAAGGTCAATTTTTGAAAAACATTTAGCTCCCAACAGCTCATCCAAAAGCTCCTTAGTTGCCAGGATGGGATCTCTACTTTTGACAGTGAGTTCATTTAACCTCCTGTAGTCAGTGCACATGCGCCAATAACTGTCCTTCTTTTGAACCAGTAGTACAGGTGAAGCATAGGAACTGCTACTTGGTCTAGCTGTCCCCATTTTAAGTAATTAATCGACCTGTTTTTCAATCTCAGCTTTATGAGCAATGGGGTATCTATATGGCCGCAATTTAAAAGGTTGAGCTCCAGGCTTTAAACAAATATGATGATCCACTGCTCTGAGAGGTGACAGTGTTGATGGTTCAGTAAATACTTCTTCATATTGGTTTAAGAGCATCTCAATGTCTCTGGGTAACTCAGAAGTGATGGCAGCATACAAATAACCAGCAGTCCTTCCTTCTTGCCTCCTTCTGTCACTAGCATAGTTTGCATCCCTTGATCTCCTATGCATTTGCTCCCATTCCCACTGTTGCCTTTTTCTTTTATGATACTGCACACTTTTCATTGCTTCTTCCACATTTTTGTAAGCTTCATAAGCTTGTCCTTGTAAAAGGAATCTTTCTCCTTTCTTGCTGAGCTGTATGGTGTAGTTATCATAGTCAAATAAGATAGGACTGAAACGTGATAACCAATCTGTCCCCAAAATGATGTCCCATTCTGCAAGATCAATGATCTTCAAATCAAATTGGAAATCATATTGTTGGATAGACCATTGAGCATCAGGGCAAGCCAAGTCATTTCTGATTTTGTATCCATCAGCCACAGTGACAACAAATGGTCTGATTCTTCTGGTGGCATGCTTTAGTCTTTGAACCATTTTGGAGTCTATGAAACTTCTGCAAGCTCCCGTATCAATCAAAATCTTAATGGTTAGATCGCCAATGAATTCAAAAATGACTATGATTTTTCTGTTTTCATCCTCTATTGCCCAACACTCATCCATTTTAGTGATAGCTTGTATTTGATCACTGGGCATTGTCACTATATTACCAGCAT